GAAGCCCCAACCCCTCCCTGCTCCCTCTGCAGTCCCTACCCCCTCTGCAGCCCCTACCCCTTCTGAAACTCCTTCCTTTACACTTACAACTCCTATCATGCCAAGGCACTTTACACTTACAACTCCTATCATCCCTACCCTCTTACTCTCTCTGCAGCCCCTACCCCACTGCACCTTCTGCTGCCCCTAACCCGTGCTCCCTCTGCAGCCTGTACACACCACTCCCTCTGCAGCCCCTACCCCCCTGCTACCTCTGCAGTCCCTACCCCCTTGCTCCCTCTGCAGCACATACCCCCTGCTCCCTCTGCAGCCCCTACCCCCTTGCTCCCTCTGCAGCACATACCCCCTGCTACCTCTGCAGCACATACCCCCTGCTACCTCTGCAGCCCCTACCCCCCTGCTACCTCTACAGCCCCTACCCCCTTGCTCCCTCTGCAGCACATACCCCCTGCTCCCTCTGCAGCCCCTACCCCCTTGCTCCCTCTGCAGCACATACCCCCTACCCCCTGCAGAGATCCTACCCTCTGCTGCCCCTCACCATCTGCTGCCCCTCACCATCTGCTGCTCCTCACCTCCTGCACCCACTTCAGCCCCTACTCCCAGGCACCCACTACAACTCCTATATCCTATGCACCCACTACAGCCTCTATACCCTATGCACCAACTACAGCCCCTACACTCCCTGCACTTACGATAGCTTATATTTCCCTTTGCAATCACAACAGCACCTATTACCCTCTGCACCCACTACAGCCTCTCTTCCCCCACCATTCCCTCTGCAGACCCTCCCCCCTGTACCCTCTGCAGCCTCTTCCCCCCCCACATCCTCTACAGCCCCTTCCTCCCAGCACCATTTGCACGCACAAGCATAAAGGAACGCTATAGTTACCAGAACAATTACAGCTTAATGTAGTTATTCTGGTGAGTATAGTCGGCCCCTGCACGGTTTTTGCTGTAAAGGCTCCCTTTTCAGAGAAAAAGCAGTGTTACATTGCTGCCTAGGAACATCTAGGTGCTTCCTGTGTCAGTGTTGCAAAATGTGCAGCACTGACATTCTGCATCTCCGCTGAACACTTGTCACAGAAAAGCACTGATTCAATGCATCTCTATGAGGAGATGTTTATTGGCACAGCGTAGTGCCGGGGTTCTCAAACTCCGGCCCCCCAGTTGTTGCTGAACTACAACTCCCATGATTATCTAGCTATCTATGTAATGCAAAGAATCATGGGAGTTGTAGTTCAGCAACATCTGGGGGGCCGGAGTTTGAGGACCCCTGGCGTAGTGTTTTGCCGCACATGCACAATAGCCTTCCAGTGCTTACCTATGGTAGAGCATTGGGCTGGCTGAGATCATCTAAAATTGTTGAACTCTGCCAAGGAGTTTGGTCGGTGATGGAAAAAAGGTGAGTAAATCCCGTTTTTAAGGGGGGCCAGAACCCTATAGCGTCAGGAATACACTTTTGTATTCCTGACACTATAATGTTCCGTTAAAGGGACACTCAATGAAGTGGTCTGGGTACCAGGTCCCCCAGGTTTTAACCCTTCAGATGTAAACATGCTATGTTTACATTGCAGGGTTAATCCAGCCTCTAGTGGCTGTCTTCCTGACAGCCGCTAGAGGCGTTTCTGCGACACTGGATGCGAAAATCGCATTCAGCGTGCAGAACGTCCATAGGAAAGCATTGAGAAATTATTTTCTATGGACTGTTTGAATGCACGCATGGCTCTTGCCGCGCATGTGCATTCTGCTCCACTTGGGAGCTGACGTCGGCTGAGGGGGGGGGAAGGTCACCAGCACCGAGGGAGCCCAGCGCTGGATAAAAGTAAGTGGCTGAAGGAGTTTCAACCCCTTTAGCCCAGTGGGCAGGGGACCCTGAGGGTGGGGAGGGACCAAAGGGTTATATAGTGTTAGGAAAACAAGTTTGTTTTCCTGACATTATAGTGATCCTTTAAGGTGGCTTGTAACATGATGATTTGTAATTGTGATTTGTAATTTAAGATGCAAAATTTGGACCTCATACAAACACGTTGCCAAAATTCAGAAATACCCCTTAATACAAACTGCCATGCTACTCAAACACACAAAAAAAATATTACCCTATTTATAAAACCAAAAACATGTATTCAAATATACTATGAATTCACATACCCTGACACTACACACAAAGACATACATATATTCACTCACACTAGTGCTTACATACATTCACTTTACATGTACATATAATCAAATACACGGTACACCTACACCAGCATATATATCGGTCTGCTTGGGGCCCAGATGCTAATTTTGGCCGGGGGCCCAGGCCACTGTCAGTCCGTCCCTGACTGAAGGACAAGGTTGACGGAAAATTTCCGTCTGCGGTTGGGAAGGGGTTAATCCCACTCCAACTGTCACTATAGTTGTTGTTCTTCCAGGTCACATGACATTATGGGACTGATGAACATTCTTAAAGATAGTGTATCATAGTGAGAGAGATTGCAGAATATATGTAGTTATTTACTACATTACAAAGAACAAATTGGTCACTTAAGCTGTTTTTTTATTTACTAAAGAACAGATCACCCAACTAATGTAATTGACAGTAGCATGGCACCTTTTGTTTTGTGCCTTTTGTGTCCTTTTAAGTAAAAATAGGTTACTTAATTTAAAACATATGTGACAATTTTCCTTTAATTGCTTCAAGCTGATATTACAGAGTAATTGCTCCAGAAATCTAAAAGCTTTTCTCTATGCCTTGTTCAGGCCTTCCTGACATCAGATGAAAGAATGAAGAAAGCAGTGGCTTTGAAATTTGTGAGAAAGAGAGACATTCTCACTGACGCCCCTGAGGACACTTGCTGACCGCCAAGTGCTTGAGGTGGCACCCGGAAGTCCTTTCCTAGCCAAAGCCTATGGAGCATTTCAGATCCTGGAAATTCCTTAATGGTCATAAATTAACCTCTCCATTAACCAAAATAACCATCAATATATTGAGATATAAGTTTGCAAAATCATTCAATGGTGCATTAGTATTTAATCCATACCTGGCTCTTTCACCTCATCGTTATCCAAATTTGGATATATTTGCAGTTGATCATTAGGAAAAGTAATTTTGATGCTCTATTAGGCTACATAGGGTGTTGACTATGCTTCCCGGAGAGAGACCCTTTTTGTCAAATTGTACAAAAACACTTTGATTAAAAAATGACAATTGTAAATTCATAGCAATGTCAGCAGTAGTGTCTGTTGTTTTAAGAGTGTTCAATTTTTGATAGTTAAATGTTAAAAGTTACAAGGAGTAAAATCTTGTGTCAAAGCTTAATTTATTTTACAATTTGTCATTTTTTGCCTAAAATTTAAAAAGCGCCACATAATCAACATTGCCACGAAAATTTATATATTTTATAAATTATGTAGGATATTTAACTATGACACTGTTCATATGACAACTTCCAACACCAATCTCTACTAACATGTGTATTAATCTTTTTTTTTTTTTTTTTGTGGTTTATTTTTCCAATCAGTTTTTCAGTAATATCTTTCAAAGTTTGTAATATTAATTGTATTAACCTGATGTGTACTAGTAAAAAAAAAAAAAAAAAAAAGAGCTACTTGTCATGGGAACTCAAATCCTGTTTACATTTCTATAGAGATGCTTAGTCCAACTAGCATTAATAGTGCTGAACTCTTGAGTGCAGTGTCAGATGGATGCCCGGACCCAAGGCACCAGTGACACTAATAAAACTGGCAAAGAAATGCTCCATATCTCATCCACAAAGAGCATTAACATACACAACCCTAGGTACATTATCAGAGGGTTTTCAGGTCAATTGTAATGCAGAGTATAGTGTTTGTGCTGCCAGCATTACAAATTTTGTTGTAGTGCAGTAATCTTTGACTGATGTCATTATGTTATAATTTATTAGCCAATATTCTAAATTCCTGCAATTTGCCTTTAGTATTGATATTTCAAAAGGAGGGGGACACAATCACAAATTGTTTGAAATTTGACTGTTCATGAATGATAATTGATATCTCCAAATTTACTTTAGCAAACACTTAATATCAATTCTGTCTAATTTCTGATATGTTTTTTTAAGCAATACGAATAGCTCTTAATAGGTTTCAAGCTCTATACATGTTGGCATTCATGTCCCCTGTGTGCATTTTCCCCTAAAAAAAGTATACACACAGTGATAACAGTTGGTACATAGGATGTAGATTGCCATTGAAAAGAAAGAAACAAACACAATGATGTTTAAGAAATCTTCATTTGGCTGTTTAAATGTTTGTATTGCATTATATTTTATTTTTAACCAGAGCAATCTTTGCTATGTGTTGGAATATCTGCAAGGTGGAGATCTCATAGGCTATCTGAAGAAAAAAAATATCAGAATAGAACCACACACTGCAATGTAAGTCTGAAAAGATGGGGCTTAGACTGGAGAGAGGATGTTAAAGGAATCCAAAAGTTTAATAACTAAACTTTAATCACCCAACAAACACAGTTATCAATTAAAAAAAGTATGCAGTGTTGTCGATTGTTAAATAAAGTTACATTTTATTAAAAGAACATGAGTTCAATATGCTATGTTGAGCCGTTTTATTTATGTTTTAGAAGATGAGAAGGGAGTTAAACTAGGTGGAAGTGAAAGGAGATAGTTTAAAGAAAAAAAAAGTAATTTGTTAAACAGTTGCCCATGACCAAGTTTGTTATTGATTGCATTGTTTGATACACACCGGTGGATGCCATGGATAAAGAATATAGAAAAAATAGGGACATAGTGGAGTCTGGAACATTACAATAAATAATACAACAAGAACACTCACAATACCTTTATGCTTATTTTGGTAATTATTTATCAAATATTTATATATGCTAGGATTTCCCAAGGTCAACTTATTTAGGAAATAAATTTTTAAAGAATAAGCTTATTCTATAATAATAAAAAAAACTTTAGGGGCGTGGTCTGGCGCTGGACAGAGATGGCTGCCTAACTCGAAGGCTCCGTCCCTAGATGCCCTATAAAAGCTATAACCTGCAGCAAATTATTTCCATGGGCCGCACTAAACGCACCCAAATGACCCCTTCAAACCCTAGAACACAAGGGGGACCTCCCTCAACATCCATCAGGGAGTACCTCCAAACGCCGGCGATCTTGGCGGCAAGTCTCAAGGCCACAAATATGGCGCTGGCCTCTCCCGGCTCAACTGCATCGGAGGCAGAATCCATGTCGGCACACGAAATCCTGCCACCTCCGACTCCAGACTGGTACGCATTGTTTGCATCGCTATCCAAAAAAGAAGATTTTCAACAACTGGTCGATGAGGTGATGGGTACACTGCATAGCGAAATATCCTCGATACGCACATCTCTGACATCACTAAAAACTTGTGTCAGTGCACTGGAGGAAAGAGGACCCCAGGCGAATGGCCCAGATCCAGCTACCATCCGACACCAAGCGGCACAGATCACAGACATGAGAATGCACATCGAAGACCTTGACAACAGAAGCCGCAGAAATAACATTCGGGTGCAGGGTCTAAAAGAAACCTGGAAAATCTCTAGAGCTTGCGCGCCAAAAGACAGAAAAGCTTTGTACACGCCATCAACCTCGGGAGTGAGTGCTATCGGACCCCCAAGACAATTGCAGAAGCCTTCCGGGCGTATTACGCAGCACTATATCAGTTACCACCTGGCGGAGGACGGACAGATGGAGAAGCCTCGACCTTACAGGAAAGACGCTTGGAATACGTGACCCGCCACACCAACTCCAAACTGAGCGCAGAGGTGAGGGAAGCTCTCGAGGAACCCATCACTTCAGAGGAACTGCTCAGGGCGGTGAAGCTGGCCAAGACGGGGAAAAGCCCGGGACCGGACGGATACACCGCTCACTCCTGTCGGAAATATGCGACAGTTCTGGCGCCACACCTAGTGGCAGCCCTCAACTCGATCAGAACGGGGGTGAGCTGGAACCAAACATGCTCATGGCACATGTGGTGGTGTTGCCAAAGGAGGGGAAGGACACGACGGAGTGCACCAGACCGATCTCCCTGTTGAACGCCGACCTGAAACTCTTCACAAAGATCCTGGCTCTCCGCATCCAGTCCTTCTTGCCGGGGCTGATACACCGGGACCAGGTGGGATTCGTGAGGGGCCGTGAGGCCCGTGACAACACAGTGAAGGTGATCAGTTTGATACACGTGGCTCAAAAACAAGCATCCCCATCACTGCTGATATCGACGGAAGTGGAAAAGGCGTTCAACAGGGTAGATTTGTCGTTCCTCATGACGACACTTAGGCAGGTGGGCTTCGGACCCCACATGATGTCATGTATCCAGGCTCTCTACCGCAAACCGGCGGCACGAGTTCAAGTGAATGGAATCCTGTCCCAACCATTCGATATACGAAATGGGACTCGACAGGGGTGCCCCTTGTCGCCTCTGCTCTTTGTTATTAGCCTGGAACTGTTTCTCAACGCAATAAGAGAAAACACCAGAGTGCGGGGAATAAGAGGGGCTTGGGAAGAAAGCATATGCCGATGATCTTCTCTTCACAGTCACAAATCCACAAACATCTCTACAAGAGATTATTTAAGAATTCGAAACATATTACCTCCTGTCTAACCTGAAAATAAACTACAGGAAATCAGACTAAATACCGCTACGCAGTACATCTACAGAGGATCGTGGAGTGGACCCATGCCCCCCCCCGAGGAAGCTCTGGGTGGCGATAGAGGACAGCTTCTCCGAGACCCCTCTGGCGATGTTGCCATGGGTGCCGAAGGGGGTGGAGGGGATGGTGCCAAGGGACCACCCGTCCAGCAAAGCCACAATGTGAACCTGGAGGACGTTGGCCCAGAGGGGGAATCTGGCACCGGAGGTGTCCTCCCTGCAACCTATTGTAGGAAACCCGCTATTTCGGCCGGCAGCCTTGCCGCAGTTCCTGACCACCCTGGGCCTGCCGAGGCAGTGCAGACTAAAACACATAAGCACAGAAGGGAAACCAACACCCCTTGCGGGCCTACCAGTCCTGGACCCCTCAAGTTTCCTGACCCAGTTCAGATACCACCAACTGGTGAGATACGTCAAATCCATCCCAAACCTAGAATCGGCAAACAGGCAACTGACGGCTTTAGGAAACATTGTGCGACCAAGATACCCTACCAGCACACTGCATCTCAATACTATACCAAATGATTCTCCCAGCCAGAAACGGTAACCAACTACCATCCTACACTAGATATTGGGAGAGAGACCTGGGATTCTCCCTGACGGAAACCAATGGCTAAACGTATTCGTTACCATACATAAATCTTCGATCAGCACAAAATAACAGGAATCAGGGTACAAATTGATAACTCATTGGTACAGGACCCCCGAGAAGCTCTCCGCCGCAGGCTGCCAGGTCCACAGAGCTATCACCAAGATAACAGACGCTAACATCGAATTCACTCCCGAAGCATATCTCCTACACGTCGCGTCAATGCCACCCATGCGATATAAAAAAACGGTGCTACCACACCTAATTAACGCAGCGCGCAGCCTCATACCCAACCACTGGAAGAAGACAATCCCCTCCATTAGGGATTGGATCCGAAGGGTGGAAGACATATGGGAGATTGAGGAGCTTATCTGTAATGATATTGATGTTACAAAGTTTTGGAGTCCAGTAGCCAGATCAGCAATGTTTTCTGCCAGAGGTAGCCACTCGTTACCCAGGTGGTTGAGCCCCTGAGCCTTGAGTGGCCTTCTGGTCTTAAGCAGAGATGGGAGACTGGAACAGAAAGATGATAATCGTAGTGAGGCAAGCCGAGGTCAGTGGGAAGGAGAAGCAGCAAAGTCAAAACAGTCCAAATTCAGCAACAGGAAGGAGAAACAGGAACACGCTTGATTAGAGAGTACAGGAACCACAATAATCTGGCAAAGGTACAGAGACAGGAAGTGGCTTTTATAGGCCAAGAACCAGACACCTGACCAGACACAGCTGAAGAGAGTTGTCACTGATAACCTTGACTCTACAAGCAATGGTATCAGATCTCAGGTAAATTTGCAAAAGGCAGGCTGGTGTACTGGTAAGGAAAAGGTTTAGCACCATGTAAACCAGGGTTCGAAACCCAGCAGAGTCAGTTCCTCACATTACCTCCACCTCTATAGGCGCAGCCTCTGGATGCCCTATTTCCTGGTTTAGCAGGGTACTGTTCATGGAAAGACTGAAGAAGATCAGGAGCATGAATATTGTCCACTGGTTCCCACGATCTATCCTCCTCACCATAGCCTTTCCAATGAACCAAGTATTGAAGCTTGTTGCGGAAGATCCTGGAGTCAAGAATTTTTCCCACCTCGTATTCATCTTCACCATCCACGAGGACTGGTGGTGGGGCAGGCAAGGCTCGACCAGGGAAAGTATTTTCATGAAAAGGTTTAAGCAGTGCCACGTGAAACACCGGATGTATTTTCATGGAATCCGGAAGTTGCAGACGGAAGGTGACTGCATTGATCTGAGCGATTATCTTAAAAGGTCCCATGAACTTTTGACCCAATTTATGAGAAGGAATCCTAAGCTTAAGATTCTTTGTTGACAGCCAAACCTTGTCACCAACATGATAAACTGGGGCCTCCTTTCTGTGCCTATCAGCAGCTCTTTTGTAACATTCCTGAGCCTCCGAAAGAGTCTCCTTCAACAGTTCTTGGGAATCTCGTAAGGCGGTTAGCCGGTCAGTGACTGCAGGAATGGGAGTAGTAATTGGGAGACTCACTAGAAAGGTTGGATGGTAACCATAATTGGCAAAAAATGGGCTCAGAGAAGTGGAGCAGTGTTGGGCATTGTTATAGGCAAACTCCGCCGTGGGTAGAAAATCCAGCCAGTCATCCTGCAGGTAACTAATATAGCACCGCAAATATTGTTCTAAAGTCTGGTTGGTTCGCTCAGTCTGTCCATTACTTTGTGGATGAAAAGCTGAAGACAGATTTACATTAATACCTAGAATAGAACAAAAATATTTCCAAAAATGAGATGTAAACTGCACTCCCCTGTCAGAAATTACTTCATCAGGCACTCCATGCAAGCGAAATATTTCCCGAATAACAAGGTCAGCAGTCTGTTTAGCTGAAGGGAGACCACGAGCTGGTATGAAATGACTCATCTTGGTTAACCGGTCCACAACAACAAGAATAGTAGTGTGTTCCTTAGAGGGAGGTAGTTCCACAATAAAGTCCATGGATATAGATCCCCAGGGACGATGAGGAATCGGAAGAGGCTGAAGCAAGCCAACAGGGGATGAGCGAGGAGTCTTATGTCTGGCACATACATCACAAGAGGACACATACTTCTTAACATCCTCATAATATTTAGGCCACCAAAAGGATCGGGTAAGTAGTTCTTGTGTCTTTCGGATTCCTGGATGACCTGCTGGTTTAGAGTCATGGTAGAGGCGTAAAACGTCCAGTCGCACTGATTCTGGAACAAACAGACGTTGTTGAAAAATCCAAAACCCATTAAGCATGGTCATATGAAGATCACGAGGAGGATCACGAAAAACTGGATCTTTAGAGTAGCCCTTTTTAATGCGAGACATTAGATCAGAAGGAAAGGTAACTCCTAAAAATCTGCTCTCCGGCAAGATGGTGGCCTTGGTTACTGTAGTATGGAGGGGGTCAGCTATCCTAGACAAGGCATCCGCCTTGCCATTTCTGGAACCAGGGCGGTATGAAATAAAAAAATTAAACCTTGAGAAAAATAGGGACCAGCGTGCTTGTCTGGCTGACAGTCTCTTAGCGGATTGGATACATTCCAGATTTTGTGATCTGTGAGGACAGTAATTGGATGGGTGGCTCCCTCCAAGAGATGTCTCCATTCGGTGAAGGCAGCTTTTATAGCCAAAAGTTCTTTATTCCCTATGTCATAATTTCTTTCTGCTGGTAACATCTGGCGGGAATAGAAGGCACATGGATGTAACAACATCTTAGGTCCAGTCCTTTGAGATAGTATAGCCCCAACAGCTGAATCAGAAGCATCTACCTCTACAGTAAATGGCAATTCTGGCTGAGGATGTACCAAGATAGGGGCAGATGTAAACAGAGTCTTTAATCTGGAAAATGCAGTGTCAGCCTTATTGGACCACTGAAAAGGAGTCCCTTTACGTGTAAGTTCAGTGATCGGTGTAATAACGGCAGAGAAATTCTTAATGAAACGCCTGTAAAAATTGGCAAACCCCACAAATCTCTGTATATCTTTTTCATTCTTGGGGATGGGCCAGTCCAGCACAGCTTTAATTTTACTTGCGTCCATACTTAAACCTTTAGGAGTTATTACATACCCCAGGAACTGAATTTCTGTTTGTTCAAACTCACATTTTTCCAGTTTAATGTATAGGTGGTGGGTACGAAGGCGCTCAAGAACAATGCAGACCTGTTTTCTGTGATTTTCAAGATTATCAGAAAATATCAGGATATCATCCAAATATGCCACAACAAACTGATCCAGGAGATCCCGTAGTACATCATTGATTAGATGCTGAAAAGTTGCAGGGGCATTACAAAGCCCAAATGGCATTACTAGATATTCGTAATGTCCGTACCTGGTTCTGAAAGCTGTTTTCCATTCATCATTTGGTCTTATGCGAACCAGATTATATGCCCCCCGTAGATCAAGCTTCGTAAATATTTTAGCTGAACGAAGTCTCTCCAGAAGTTCAGGAATGAGAGGCAAGGGATAACGGTTTTTAACAGTGATTTTATTAATGTCCCTGTAATCGACACATGGCCGTAGACTGCCATCTTTCTTTTCTACAAAGAATATAGGAGCTCCTGCTGGAGAAGTGGATGGTCGAATAAAGCCTTTGGCAAGATTTTCTTGTATGTATTCACGAAGTGCTTTCAATTCAGGCTCAGAAAGGGAGTATATACGGCCAAATGGGATAGCAGCTCCAGGTAGCAGCTCTATGGGGCAATCATAAGGCCTATGAGGTGGAAGCTGATCAGCATTCTTCTTATCACAGACATCTGCAAAATCCCGATATTGTAGCGGAAGCTTGGTTAAGTTTGTAGCAACCATTTCATTAATTGTTGTGGTAACAGGTGTCGCCTTAGAGGGTTGACAATTCATTAAGCAGTGTTCTGAAGGAAAGGACAAAGTTCTAGTCTTCCAATCAATCTGTGGGTTATGCAGAGCAAGCCAGGGTATACCCAAAATCACTGGAAACTGTGTTGAGGAAATTAGGTGGAAAGATATAGACTCATGGTGATTCACTTCCAGAATCAATTTTAAGGGCACAGTCTCATGTGTAACCGGGCCTGACGTAAGTGGAGAACCGTCTACTGTTTCCATTAACACAGGTGAAGATTTAGGGATAGACTGAATTTTATTTTCTGCTGCAAATTTAATGTCCATAAAGTTTCCGCCTGCTCCGGAATCTATCATAGCTGTAGTTGAAATTTTATTATTACCATATTGCAAAGTGATAGGCACCACCAAATGAGGATGTTGAGTCATCATACCTTCTTCACCCTGAGCCAGAGAAAACAAGGGTTGTGTGACAGAATCCAGTTGGTCTGAAATCTGGGATTGGTGTTGAATCTGTGCACCCTCAGCAGTCATAGCTATTGTTCTTTTAGACTTGTTAGGGCAATTGATGGCATAATGCCCTGTACTACCACAATACAGGCATAAGTTGTGAGTGCGTCGCCACTGTTTTTCTTCATTGGATAATGGCCCTCTTATTAGATCTACCTGCATAGCCTCAGGTTCAGAGTCTGTAGGTGTTTGTGGGGTCGGAGTAGAAATTCTTGAATAGAAAGTAGGAGTAGCACTTGGTTTAAAAGAGCCCTGTCTTTCCAATCTTCTTTCTGAAAGTCTCCGATCAATACGGATAGCCAACCGCACAAATGCATCAAACTCAACAGGAAGATCAACACGAGCTAGCTCATCTTTTATAGCTTCTGAGAGACCCCTTCTGAAGTGGAACCTCTGGGCTGATTGGTTCCAAGTAGTATCAGTAACCCACTGTCTGAATTCAGCAGCATATTCAGCCACAGAGCGCCTCCCTTGATGTAAATGAAGGAGAGTGGCTTCTGCTGTAGCACAGCGATTGGGATCATCAAAAACTAGGCACATGGCCTCAAGAAAGTCTTTTAAATTTCCCAAGATTGGACTGTCCTGTTCCAGAAAAGGGGAGCCCCAGGCCAGGGCTTCATCTTTGAAGAGGGAAAAAATAAATCCCACCTTCTCTCTTTCAGATGGAAAACGGTTAGGTAACATCATGAAATGCAAACGGCATTGATTTAGGAAACCCCTGAATTTTTTGCGGTCTCCTCCAAATTTTTCTGGTAGAGGCAAGCGGGCATCTTGTGCAGGTGTAACAGTAGTAGTAGCAGCAGCCGCAACATCATGTGCCCTGTAGCTGGTAAGCTCACTATGCATTGATCGAACTTCATTTTGCAGTTCAGCTACCTGATCCTGCAGCACTTGAATGGTCTGTGCCTGGGTCTGCATAGTTCTTGCATTAAAAGCAACCTGCTGGGCCAATGCAGAATCTGATCCGACGGTCTCCATGAAAAGGCCAGATTATTCTGTAATGATATTGATGTTACAAAGTTTTGGAGTCCAGTAGCCAGATCAGCAATGTTTTCTGCCAGAGGTAGCCACTCGTTACCCAGGTGGTTGAGCCCCTGAGCCTTGAGTGGCCTTCTGGTCTTAAGCAGAGATGGGAGACTGGAACAGAAAGATGATAATCGTAGTCAGGCAAGCCGAGGTCAGTGGGAAGGAGAAGCAGCAAAGTCAAAACAGTCCAAATTCAGCAACAGGAAGGAGAAACAGGAACACGCTGGATTAGAGAGTACAGGAACCACAATAATCTGGCAAAGGTACAGAGACAGGAAGTGGCTTTTATAGGCCAAGGACCAGACACCTGACCAGACACAGCTGAAGTGAGTTGTCACTGATAACCTTGACTCTACAAACAATAGTATCAGATCTCAGGTAAATTTGCAAAAGGCAGGCTGGTGTACTGGTAAGGAAAAGGTTTAGCACCATGTAAACCAGGGTTCGAAACCCAGCAGAGTCAGTTCCTCACATTATCCTTGTGGAGGCGGACAAGGCCAACGATACCATCAGACCTGGTACCACTGTACGAGGTGGCTGGCGGAGGTGGATGGGGCCGGGGTCGGCTCACTCAACTCCCCTACCTCTTCCTGGTGTTTCCTCACCCCCTTCTCTCTCCCTCCCCCTCGCTGTCTATTCCCAGGGGAACCAACCGGCTGGACAAGGGGATGGAATAGGTGACGCCCCGACACTGTAGGACCCCCTTACAAGAGACTAACCTGGGGATGACGTACAAATCCACAAACTAAAAGATGGTAGCCAGTAGCCAACCCCCGACAAAATAACGACCCGCATCTCCCACCCATTGACTGGACTAAAGGGGGGATAGTAGGAGGGGACAGGCGACATAGCCTCCCGGGATAACGAACGGATAAAAGTAGGCTGGGAAAATCAGCAGACCGTGGCCCAGAAGCACCTGAACCATATTACCCTTGACGAGGCAAACACGAAAAGAAGGGTCCTACCCATCCCCTTTTAGAGAGGAGCCACCAAGAAGGTGACCGGTACTCACAACAACGCACCCAGATAGTGTGAGGAACTAGTTACACATTAGAGTTCAGTTTCTGTTACAGTTCACACTGATGTTCACAAAAAAAGAGACAAGGTAAATTTCCATACAAAAGGCAGCAATACACAAATACATATATCAATAACGGCTAAGCCCGAAGCTACCCTATGCACAGCAAGAAGAGGGAAAACACAACCCACCCTACCAATGCAAAAGAAATGTTGTATTTGAAACGTGTAATAAGCTGTGAGATATATGATTTGTTCCGCTGACCTATGTATAACACTACATGCATGTAACAATAAAATGCTTTAATAACTAAAAAAAACTTTAACTATTGTGCATTAGATTCTTTTCTGTGGAGATGGTCTGCGGAATCCAATTTCTCCACTGGCATGACACTGTGCACTGATAAAAATACATCTATAAGCACAATTTATAAAAAGTCCTGCTCTCTCTACTGTACAATGTCCATTTTCCACCATATTATCTATATTATTTAGCTAAAAATGAACATTTCTCCTCAATATTTTTATGTGATGTATGACTTCTTGCTCTGGCTCTTCTCTGGTCAAAAAGCAATTTACAAACAATTTTAACATAACTCTTAGATTGTGTTTTTTTTCTTACATTTGAGAAAACATTAATACATATTAGGCAAAGCAGAGGAAATCAAGGTAGGATTAGGAAAAAAGAAAGTGTGGTAGTTTTATTCGCACGTAACATCCAAGTCCACCTGATTAAAAGAAATGCTAAAGTGCCCACAGTCTTGCCCCATCCTACCTCCAAAACCCAATAATAAATGAAATAAAAGGCTTGGAAGCATGGCTTCAAGCAACAGCTCCAAGCCCTCTCGGTATCAGAGCAGTGACTGTCATGTCAGGCGCGTATCTGGAGTGCCATCACGGTCAGCCATAGACAATCATAGAGTACAATGATTCTCTATGGAGAAATTGTAGGTGCATCGTGGAGGGTGCCGCTCATGTGCCAACATTTCCCAATACTCCTCTATGAGGAGCAATGGTTTGGCACACCTCCAGAATGATGCGACCCAAAGAGGAGCTTGCGGCATCACCGAGGAAGACTCCGTTATGCCCAAAAGGTGAGTAATTTGTTTATTGATTTTTGTAGTTTTCTCCTCTTTCTCCAATAGAGTGGTTATGGCTCATAGAGTAATACATTAAAAGAGGCCAGGAGAGAGTTTTCACAGTGTTTAACCACACCACCTCCCCATGTTTTACAACCATATTGGTATACTTATACAGATGTTTAAGATTGCAACTTTTACTGGATATGTTCTTGTACAATGGGTTCACTGTAAATGCTACAGCGTGCTATTATGTCTTCTCTTTTTAGCCATCAATGGAGAGTTTGACCTGAAAAATGATAAAAGAGACAACAATATTGAGCTATGGAGCATTTACTATACCTGTTTTACAAGAAGAGCAGCAATTATTTCTTGGATATTCTTTTATATCTAACACCTTCTCTCAGCCAACAGCAGGATGAATTATCTTTCAACATCTCTTTCCCTACTGACAACAAGGAACCTTAAAGAAAGAGTAAAGTAATTGTGTTGTGTATTTTTAAAATACATGTTTGTCTTTGCTCTCTTCCACATATCCTGGGTTGTGGGTTAGAGAGCAACAAGCTAAAATGGAGACCCGGTGAATAGCCTCCCTATGACCCTTCCATATGCAAGAAGTGAGTGGTTAAAATTTGGAGCAAGTGAGAAGAGGTGTTGCCCATGTGCTACAGTCTCAATTCTCTGGGTTGTAGACTAAGTGGGACTTGATGGATTGTCCCAATGGAGGGAAAGTTAAAAACTGGAGTGGGTGGGCAGCATTTTAGTTGGACTCCAGTTTCCTTGAGTTCTCTACAGATAGATAGTGCTGTATGATCAATACTACAGTTAGAGGTTTTTTTCCATCTGACTAGTCCCAAGCAGAAATTGAGGAAGAGTTTACCGTTGTGTTCCCCAAATCAACATCAGTAATAGTTCCATAATCTCTCAGACTCTTAACACTGTTTCTTCATCATGTGGACTATTGCCACCTCTGCCACTGGAGGTGGTTCAAATGGTAACTTAGTTTAGCCAAATGGATCCCTACTAGTTTCAAATGAATCACATTGCTTCAGTAAAATTCATTTGAAAATGTCTCAACAGACTCTCAAACAAATTGCAGACAAATCATAATAGAATTTCCTGGCTGCAAGATAAAAATAGATGCCACTAATGTAAGAACCAGGTTGCAGATCTGTGGTATCCTTAAAATGTTTAGGGAGGTTTGAGGTATCCTTCGTGTGATTTAGGATTAGGTGGCTTACAGTTTTAGGTGCAGTTTTCCATGTCTGTATCAGGGTAATTGGAATAACATAATTAAATAAATTCTGTTGCAAATATTTAGAATTTTAGCTGACCCCAAATGATAACTGAACTGCAGTGCAAATTCGGTAACTGAATTTGCCTTTTGTGAATAGCTGCATAGGTTAAAACAGGCGAATTGTAACAACCAAATTCTATTCTGCTGCTGTGTTTGCCATTTGTCTTCCATTCTAATTCTCCTGTTATCTCATACAGGTGTGATAAGTAATCACAACATATGGTAAAATGAAGAAAATGATAACTAGACTGTAAAATTTAGGCCAAGATAGTCAAAATAGGGAACATTTCTAACACAGATAATATGCTCTATCTGCTTTAAAATCTGGAACTCAGTTGTCGATTAAATGCAATTCACTCTTTAGAGGATAAATCCCACTGCTTTTGAAATAGCTTTCTTTCTGTCTTAGAAATGAGCCTCAAAAAATGTACAGCCATTTGTCTTGCTTATAATCATAAGAAATACAGCTCACACCTGGGGAAACAAAGTTAGTCACTTTAAAAAAAAAACATTTAATTGGACTTCATTGAACAACCACTTGGCCTATTTGAATCAATCGTTTGTTCTGTTTCTTGTAAAACTTTAATTATCAAGTCTTTGATCTTTAACCTATCTCACATCTATCATTAGCTTTCTCAAAAGTTTAGATGCCATTATTATATTATCTTCTACTCTTGCTTGATGGTTATTCCATGTACCCATTATCCTTTCTGTGCTTTAAAACTTTCATATATAGGGCATGCTGGAAGGGTCTGTGCAAAGATTTTTGACCTACCAAAAAAATATCTTTGCCAGTGTAGGCCTGTGTCCTCCACTATTTTGCCCCTCTTACCTATCCATTTGATCACTTCGTATCTATTTTACCACTTGTGCATGTTGTATGCCCATTTTGTTGTTCTTATTCATTATCAGCCTTCTGTTGTTTTGTGCCCTATTATCTCTTTTGTCTTTCACCCCATCTTGTGTCTATTATCACCAATTTAGAATGCCTTATCTCCTTTATTGTATCTTACACCATTACTGTGTCTTTGAGTGTTGGGGAAATGGATCTTGTCTGCTCTGGCACAGCATGTTTCTACTTGCAAGAACACAGCAGGCACTCAAGATTTTTGACATTAGTTCTTTTTCCCTTAAATGTTATTTCTTACTCTTCAATGTTTTACATTCTTTCAAATGCAGATACTTTACTGGTATCTACATATAGCATCAAGGTACCGACATACACACCCACCTTAAATATATCAATTTTTGGATTCTTAATATTTACTTATATCAGAATCCCTAAAAACTGAACCAACTAATTTTCCAAATGTATATAAAGCAACATTAGATGCATTTTTTTTAATAATGTTACATTTATTAAAATATTTCAAAAAATTAAAGTAATTTTGTAGTCTTTGCAATGAAGAAAGTTGACTTACTGTCCAAATTATTACAGATTAGACTCAACTAAAACACATTTTTTTCATAAAGCGGGAGTAAAAATATAAAAGCTCAAAACGTGAAACTATAATCTTCATATAAAAGACAAAAAAAATACATATCTGTCAAAGTCCTCACCAAATTTTCAGATGATTTACATACAACGTATACTAATAAAAAAGGAATAAAATGTTGCTCAAACTGTTGACTGCTTCACATGATTCTCTATAAATACCCTGACAGGTGAAAAAGGTTAAAGAAGAATATACAGATAACCTGACATGAGTGCCATAATTCAAAAATGTCACTGTGCAAGATGGGATAGCATTTCCAGTAGATAGGGGCCTTGATAGGGCCAGGAGGAGGACATAGAGGGAAGGCCCCCAGGGATTGGTAGTTGGAATGTAAGTACTAGAATGAATAGGCATCCTTTTCATCCCTCCCTCCTTTTTAGTGGGGGTATGCGGGTGCTTAGTTCTCGTTTGGTTACAGAGGCGGGGCTGGAGAGCGGAAAGTTAGGGGACAAAAAGACTCTGGGTTAGTTCAAATAGAATAGGGCAGTTAGGCTGCTGGTTAAGAAGTACCCCCTCCTCCCTCGAGTCTCCTCCTCCCTACCCTGTAAATAAAGGATTAAAAACCCTTTATTTATTTACCTTGTCCCAACGCCGATGTCCCATGGCGCTGGATCGAAGCTCCACCCCTTCCTCTGTCCCGCGATGAGTGGGGTCTAATGCGCATGCACGGCAAATGCAGCACGCGCATTAGACCTCCCCATAGGAAAGCACTGAATCAATGCTTTCCTAAGGGGAAAAATCTAACACTGGCGGTCCTCATGCAGAACGTGAGGACGTCTAGTGTCAGATTGCCATCAACTCAGTGGAGGGCATAACATGGCTCTCAAAGGGTACATGCGTGTCTCATTTTGTTGCATTATATGATATTGAAAGTAATAATGAGGCTGGTCTCTTTGAACAATTAAAAACAGTAAAGAATGATGCTTTTCATTTGGCAGACATTTTCAAGAGATTTAATGAAATTTATTTGCAGCTTCAAGGAGCCAATATAACTTATAAATTGCAAAAATATTGTGTCATTATTTATCGAAAAGCTTGAGCTTCTCTGTCATAATTTTTCAAAGAGAGTATTTAATCAGTTTCCTGAATTGTCATCTATAAAAGATGATATAACTCCAGAGGTTCAGATTGAAAGGTTCAGTAGCTACCTCAAGAAGCTTGCATTTGATATGAAAAAATGATTTAAATATATTTTGAACTTGAAGGTGTATGACTG